GAGCTAGTCCAGACCTAAATAGGGTCAGGTCAGGAGGAAGGGTCACGGGGAGCTTCAGAGTTTACAACCCAAGACTGGCAAGTCCAGTCACTTATTATCCAAGTCCTGCCCCTGCCTTTCATCACAGGTGAGGTAGGATTTCCCTGGGGCTAAATAACACAATGCATTTATATATCCTCTCAGTCTAACTGGGTCTAAACAACACGGTGGTACCTGCAATTCAAAGTATAGCTTGTCTTACCTCTAGGCCTTGGAAGCTGGGTGGACAGCCCCCATCACCTGCTTAGGCACCAGGATGGCTAAGGAAACAAGGTTCTTTCTTAGACCTAGTCTTTCCCTTACTGAAGAATTGGGAGTTTTTATTAGAAAACCAGCAAGTGCAAGCAGACATACGTCCCCCCCAAAACTTGCAGCCACTTAATACTATTAGGACACTGAGCCATGAGGGCAGTAAAGAGCAGAAAAACAATCTCACCAAACCTGGAGATCTGAAGTGGGATGCTGTGTGAAATAAGTAGGCTGGGAAGGTGGCTTAGTGGTAGAGTGTTTACCCAGCATGCATGAAGCCCTGGGCTCAATTCCTCAGAACCACACAAACTGAAAAAGCCGGGAGTGGCGCTGTGGCTCAATTGGTAGAGTGCTAGCCTTGAGCAAAAGAAGCTCAGGGTCAGGGGCCAGGCCCTGAGTTCAAGCCCCAGGTCTGGCAAAAAAAGGAAAAAAAAAAAAAGATTAAGGGAACTGCTAGAGTATATTAGACTTTACTAGAAAACCATGCAGACATCCAGGTACAAAGAACAAAGATAAGGTTTATTCCTGGTAAAGGGAGGGGCAAGACCCCTTCTCACAAATGGGGAGTGAGAGGAAGTGCCGGCTATTGTCTGAGGTGACCCATACAAACTACTGAGACTAGGAGGGGCTAAAAGGGGGTTGGAGGCAGAGACCCTGGTGTGGATGTGAGGATCAGGGCTTCATGGTGGTAGACTAGGGTTTATGCTGCTGCCCAAGTAGTAAATAAGGGGTCTTGCAGCTACTAGACCTGAAGGTCACTCTAAGGGTTTCTTGTGTGGCATCTCAAGGTGTGTGTGTGGGGGGGTTGAAGGCTGATTATTTATTGCCTTTCCTACATGGGCCTGGTGTTGCCTAGGAATGGAGCATGCTAAGCTGTGGACAGGGGAAGGAGCGTGCTAAGCTATGGGAACGGAGCTCATTGGTCTAACAGGAACCAAGTCATTTTAGGGGAAATGAGGAATGGTCTGCTTACAGCAAATATAGGAGATATTCCTCAGCTACTTCCCTTAAGATTAAAGGGGCTGCAAAGGTGGCTCAGTGGTAGAGTGCTTGCCTTGCATGCATGAGGCCCTGGGTTCGATTCCTCAGCACCACATAAGCAAAAAGAAAAAAACTGGAAGTGGCGCTGTGGCTCAAGTGGTAGAGTGCTAGCCTTGAGCTGAACTGCTGAGGGACAGTGCTCAGGCCCAGAGTTCAGGCCCTACAACCAGACCAAAAAAAAAATAGAAATATACAAGTGCTATGTTCTGCTTCAGGGAGAGACGACAGGATGCTCTCCTCCCTGAAGGATGCATTTCTCACCCAAGGCTTACAACTGTCTGACAGGATAAATGCAGATAGCAAGTACCTCCTTGTCCCAAGGGTAGGGACTGCTTTATGGTAAGATGCATTATTACCTGGATATTCAGAAAATAACACCAGGTATGAGTAGAGCAAAGACAAAGAATTCAGCTTTGCATAACTTTTTTTTTTTTTGGTCGGTTGTGGGGCCTGAACTCTGGACTGGGCGCTGTCCCTGAGCTCTTCAGCTCAAGGTAAGTGCTCTATCACTTGAGCCACAGCACCACTTCCGGCTTTTTCTGCTTATGTGCTGCTGAGGAATTGAACCCAGGGCCTCATGCATGCAAGGCAAGCACTCTACCACTGAGCCACCTTCCCAGCCCCAGGTTTGCCTAACTTTGAAGCCAGCCTCCCTGCCTTTACCCTACAAGTACCCCAACAGCCCAAGGAGCACTGTGTCTATGAGAACACCCACTCTCTGTTCGAGTGTGTCCCTGCCCTTCTGTGTGTGTCTGCTTGTTTACTTACTCAATAAAGCTCTGACAAGTTTTCTTAACCATTGTGACTGTAATAATCCTTCACGACCATCCCAGGGGACCACACTGAGGCAAACAGACACAGGAGAAAGATTATTATAAGGTTTATTAGAGGGGCCATATCTCCCAGGAGAGGGAACACATGGTATCTGTCCCTGTCTAAGTGGCAAGCAAGTGTGGGGCAGGTAGGGAGGTAGGTGCATGTGCAGGTAGGTCTAGGCGGAGAGATGGAGCGGCCAGCTGTATGGCAGGAACTTTAGAACAGATTGGAGCCCAGGTCTGGGTGGAGCTGAGCACCAGAGGTGGGGATAATACCAAGAGTGACTTGTCCAGAAATTCTTACTCTGCGATCAAATCAAGCACTCTAAGAGAAGACTTCCTACCTTTATTTCTTGTCGGTCGTGGGGCCTGAACTCTGGGCCTGGGCGCTGTTCCTCGGCCCTTCAGCTCAAGGTGAGCTCTCTACCACTTGAGCTACAGCGCCACTTCCGGTTTTCTGGTGGTTTATTAGAGATAGGAGTCTCAAGGTCTTTCCTGCTCAGGCTGGCTTTGAACCAGGATCCTCAGATCTCAGCCTCCTGAGTAGTTAGGATTACAGGCATGAGCCACCAGCGCCTGGCTGAGAAAGTTCCTACCTTTAAAGGGAAGCTTCACTAAACCTTGCCTCCTTCCAGCCACAGGTTAGGCAGGCCCAGTAACCTATTATCCAAGTCCCTGGCCCTGCCTGCAGGCCTTTAGGCATTCCCATCTCCTGGGGGTGGGTACTCTACCTCCCACAGATTTTAGCAATTCCTTATCAACCACCTACGTTGCCAAGATGGTACCAGATAGATCCAGAAACCTTATTGCAACAAAAATATGTGGGCTTTTTTTTTTTTTTTTTTTGGTGCCAGTCCTGGGGCTTGAACTCAGGATCTCATACTCTCCCTTAGCCCTTTCATTTTCTTTCTTTTCTTTTTTCTTTGGTGCTGGTCCTGAGTCTTCATCTCAGGGTTTAAGGTGCTGGTCCCTGAACTTTTTCACTCAATTTAGTACTCTACCACTTGAGCCTTAAGGCTTTTCTGGCAGTTAATTGGAAGTAGGAGTCTCAGGGGCTTTCATGCCTAGGCTGGCTTTGAACTGCGCTCCTCAGATCTCAGCCTCCTGAGTAGCTAGGATTGCAGGTGTGAAGCACCATTTGGAGATTGCTGTATACCCATTCTTTTCATTGGGAAAGAAAGCTTTTTCCTTTGTGCAACCAGCAGAGTGAGAGGCAAGGAGGAGTGATCCAAAATAATGTCAAGACTGCATTTATTGAGCACCTACTATATAGGCAGAGCCTGAATAGGTCTGAGAGGCTTGTCTTAAGCTTCAAGAGTCACCTCCTGGGCTGGGAAAGTGGCTCAGTGGTAGAGTGCTTGTCTTGAATGCATGAGGCCCTGGGTTCCATTCCTGAGCACCACATAAGCAGAAAAAGCTAGAAGTGGTGCTGTGGCTCAAGTGATAAAGCACTAACCTTGAGCTGAAGAGCTGAGGGACAGGACCCAGGCAAGACAAAAGAAAAAAGAATAGAGATATCTGTTTTGTCCTTCCCAGACTCCACCCCTATAAAGTTGTGTCTGCATCTTCCACAAGATAGCGCTTTCTCCCATTGGTTAGATCTCCACTTGGAGCCTATCACCCTCCCTGGACACCTCAATGGCTTTCAGTGGCCACAGTCACGCTCCCAAGTGCTCCTACTGCAAGTCCTGGGGCAGCAGCTCCCTGCAACTTTCCTGAGCCTCTTCTGCTCAAGGCTTAGCACTCTACCACCTGAACTACAGCACCACTTCCTGCTCTTTCTGATTGTGCGGAATCGAACCTAGGACCTCAGGCATGCTGAGCAAGCACACTGTACCGCTCAGCCACGTTCCCCAGCCCTCCCTTCCACTTTGGAATGTTTGTGTGCCCAGTCTGAGTGTCTGTCCGGTGTACTTCCTGGCTCAAGGATCTCCTCCCTCCTTTCTGTCTCTGAAGCGGATGAATGATCGTTGACTTTGGAGCACCGTGGAGAAGCACCTCACACTGGGTGCTGGCCCGGGGGTTCCTGTCCTGGGGCTGTCCACCAGCAGGGCTGCGGGAAAGCCTGGACGGGACGCCCGGTTCCACTCTCAGGGACCTTCCCTAATGGGATACACTGGGCTGGTGGTGGAAATTTTAAGCAAAAATATGGAACGCTTCACGAATTTGCGTGTCATCCTTGCGCAGGGGCCATGCTAATCTTCTCTGTATCGTTCCAATTTTAGTATATGTGTTGCCGAAGCGAACACAATTTGCAGCATGCGGATTTCTGTATTTAAAGACCTCGGTATAGAAACACTTTACAGTTAGGTGGTCTCTCTGGCCATTATGTGGGATCTTTTCTGGTATTGCCCCCAAGAAAGAATGCCTTTTATTTTAGTATTTTACTTTGAGTATCTCATTAGGTTTAAAAAAATCTTTAGATATCGATCTAAGGCGATGTCTGGAGCGCAGCCGCTTACGCCGCGAAGACTTGTGGGAAACCTCTATGCAAATGAGACGGACCACACGCGGCTCCGCCCTCCTTGCCTCGTAGAGCCTTGACTCCGGGAACGAGGGCGAGCCAGACCTCCGCGGGCGGCCACGGGTATCCCAGGGTGCTCCAGTGGACGAGGACTTTCTGGCCTAGCGTGCTCGCTGGCGTCCCTGGCCCGTCGCGGACGCTGGTGAAGGCGAAGGCGGCGGCGGCCGTGGGCAGCGGCGAGGGCGGCAGAGGCCGGGACGCGCCTCAGAC